TGGTGGGCGGCGGGGCCGGGGGAGCTGGCGACTCCGAGGGTGAAGTGACCAGTGCGCTGAGCGCCACTTTCAGCGGCCCCAAGATCGCCTTCTATGTGGGTCTCAAGAGCCCCCACGAAGGCTATGAGGTGCTGAAGTTCGACGACGTTGTCACCAACCTCGGCAATCACTATGACCCCACCACAGGCAAGTTCAGCTGCCAGGTGCGCGGCATCTACTTCTTCACCTACCACATCCTCATGCGCGGCGGCGACGGCACCAGCATGTGGGCGGACCTCTGCAAGAACGGGCAGGTCAGTGACCCCTACCCTCACCGGCCCCGCAAACCCTCGCCCGCGCCCTGAACCTCCCAGGGAACCAGCCTCCTTTCTCTCCACCGGCGGGCTACCGAGCGAGCGAGCCCCGGGAAGGAACGCGCCTCGGTGCCACAGGGTCTCAGCTTCCCAATGCACCGAGGCCGCGCTCACCAGGACATAGAGCCAAATGTTGGGCCTTGAGAGCCCAGAGACCCCCATACCTAAACTGCACTCTTTGGCCACTTGCGTCCCTGCCTGCCTCTCTGTGGGCTTCTTGGAAACCCCAGTTCTTTAGTTCCCTCCAGGTCGCCCCTTTGCCCTGAAGCCTCCTCTCCTCTTGGCCCTGGCCCCTGGCTCCCACCCGTCCACTCTGGGTCATTGTTCATGAAGCTTCCCCTCTCCCTCTTTCCCAGACTTGTCGGCGCGAGGAGGAGGGGGGACTGGGAAGGAGTTGGCTAAGTTGGAGAGACAGCATGGAGCTGGGGTGGGAGTGTGGACCCTGAAGCAGCAGGCGGGAAGCCCGTGCGTGGCGCGCCTGGTGTGGGCTGAGCAAGGGCGAGGGAAGAGGTGCCCCGGCTCACCCGCTCCTACCGCTTGCCCCCAGGTCCGGGCCAGCGCCATTGCACAGGACGCCGACCAGAACTACGACTACGCCAGTAACAGCGTGGTGCTGCACTTGGATTCAGGGGACGAAGTGTATGTGAAGCTGGATGGCGGGAAGGCTCACGGAGGCAATAATAACAAGTACAGCACGTTCTCGGGCTTTCTTCTGTACCCGGATTAGGGGCGCGGGAGGTGCGAGGTGGGGTGGCTGCAGGCCGCCCGGTCTCTGCCTGGGCGCGGCTGCTTGGCAAAGGCCACTCTCGATTCATGACACTTCCCGGCATCTCCATTGGAAAACACACATCCTTGCCTCCTCCCTGCCCGCTCCTGGCCTCAGTGCGTCTGCGACCCACCACGCTCAGGGCTGTGCTCCTGGTCTCCATCCCTATCCCGGCGAGGGAGGAAGGGACACCCAGTCCTTGAGGCGGCGGCACAGACTTTGCAAACCTGATTAGACTGGACAGGCCAGGCCGGGAGCCTGCCCTCCTCAGACCGCCTCCTCCCAGGGCCTAGAAGCGGAGGGCTCCGGGCCCTGGCCAGGGAGGTAGGCCAGAGAGAGCGCGGGCTTCCTGGGGCGTCCTTCTTTGTGACCCGAAATACTTGTGCAGATTTCCCTGTCTGTCAGCCAAAACCCCACCCACAGCAGAATTCCAGCAAACAGAAAATTCACCTCTCCACACCGCACTCCCCCCTGACTCAGACTCACCGCGATGCATTAAATTATGTTTTTAGACTATGGGTTCTGTTGTCTCTATGTCGGCATATCCTGGGCCAGGGCTCCAGATGTCCGCCTTGGCATAATGACCTTATCTGGGCCCAGGATAGGCCCATCTATGACCTGCTCCCCAGCCACTGTTATGTCCCTGCCACCAGGAGTGGCCGAAAAGACGTGGGGGTAATGGGAGCTGCATCCCACCCTTCCCAGAAGCTCTCCCCAGGCTGCAGCCCTGAGCTGGAGAGGCCTGAGGTGGGGTTGGGAGGAGGGGAGGAGTCGGGGAAGGGCATCAGGGAGAGTAAGAGGAAGGCAGGAGAGGAATGATTGGGTCTCCAGTCTTGGGCAACCTGGGCAACTTTGTCCTCCCGGAGTTGTGGGAGCAAGTCAGAGGGGAGGGGCTTCTGGGGAAGGAAGGGGAAGAGAAGGCATCTATGGGAAATGGGAGGCGTGAGTGACACTTGCCAGGGAGGGATCTGTGGGATGTTTGGCTCCTAAAAGGAAGTGCAGAAGTCCCTAGCAGACACACACCCACTCGAGCAGATGGTTCACTAAGCACAGGCCCATTTACTCACAGCCGCCAGGGCCACAGCTCTCCAGAGAGCTGGTAAACTGAGGCAATCCCACAGATCATCCAACTCGCTGAACTTCCCCAGGGCTGTGTGGTGAGGTGGACACTATTCTTCGGGGAGGGACGCTCCTTTCCTGCGGGCTTCCCTTCCCTTATGCATGCGATGTGGGGTGCCTGCTCTGAACCTGAGTGTATGTGTTTGGTGTCCCATTAACGTTGTACACACACACGAGTTAGGAAAACACCCTGCATGGTTTTGATTTTTTTCTTTTTACTTTTTTTTTGTTGTCAGATCACTGAGTTACAACAAAGTTATGTACAAAATAACCAGTCAGCTACCGGCAATCTGCTAGTGCTCACTGAGGTCATTTTGACAGGTTGTGTGAAAAGAAATGTGTGAGTATGCACAAAAAGGCAGCTCCAGGGTGTGTGTATTTGTGTAAGGCTGGAGCTACGTGTGTGTGTGCGCATGTGTGTGTGTATCTCCTATGTGGATATAATGTTGTGATTGTCCTCACGTAATCCACATTACACATGTACACACACTTGTATTCATACGTCCATGTCAATGTGGTGTGTGACAATGTTCATGCTGCATTCCTGGCCCCAAATTGCTTTGTGTTGACTTTAGTTCCTGGAGAATGCTGAAAGCTGTGATTCCCATTTAAAAGACAATTATACCCCCTGCCTTGAGTCCTGTTGCTGTCGCTATTCCTTTTTGCTTTTACTTGAGTAATGTTTTATTGTCATTCTTTTGAATATGAGCAATGATTATGTCTGCTTTGAGTCCAGGGATAAAGTACTCAAAGAGAATGGGAGGAAACATACATGTACATACTGCCATCCCCTCCCCCAGTTCCAGACCTAGTAATCCCAACCCCAATTCCCCACCCCACCCCACTCCTGCTGATTGTGGATCCCTAACCCAGCTGAGCCCAGGAACTGGGGAGGGCAGAGTCAGGCCCATCTACAGTTGCATAGGTATCAATTTCTGATGCTTTGTTGATTGTATCATCCAGAAATGCGATTAAAACCAAATGTCTGAGACCCAAATGAAGTCTAATTGCTATGGATCTGCAATCCCCAGCGGGCATCTAATCCTTTTTGACTTATTCCTCCCCTTCCTCCGATGAGATGGAGCTTAGACACAAAGCCCTTGGTTTAAATTTCAAAAATTAAAATTGACATGCAGTGGTGGCTTTCCTGGGAGCGGGAGGAATTTCTAAGGAGGTGCCCGAACCCAGCTTTATCCTCTGCATTAAGAAGCAATTTGTACTTCTAACAAAACCTCTACCACTCCCCTTTGGCGGAAGGGCAGTGGAGATGCCTTGCCTGGGTCTGACTGTTCACAATACTTAGACAAATTTGAATCTGAGATTCCTCCATCTGTATTCCCTGGTGCAGCCGGGGCTTCTTGCAATTCTAATGCCCGGGCTGCCGGAGGTGCTGCCAGAGGTGTCAGTTGCTAAGAGGATGATGGATTGATAAGGTGGCGGATGGGAGGTACAGCGTGGCAGGAGCTAGCAAGCTCAGGAACAGTCTCTCTGCATATGCACACTTTCCAGGTCACAGGCAGGCCCCACATGGCCCACCGAGGTCCATGACACCATCATCTGTCCAGAGGACTCTACCGGAAGGGGGCAGGGTGGACTGGGGAGGCAGGCCTCCCACCATTGTCACCGTCATGGTGCCGTCAGTCTTGGGGTGCATGTGGAATGCAAGAAACCCTTTGCACCAGACACTTACCCTTGTCTCCAGTTGAGTAGGGACTTACTATCAATTATAATCATAATATATTAGTTTAATTTCCTAATTGCTTTTGAGTTCCTTTTCTAATTATGTTCTTGGGTTGGGATTATCATACTGGCATCACCCTGGAAGTTGGAGATATATTATTCTGTCCATTTGAGAGGCAGAGAAATTGGGGCTTAGAGAGGTCCATGACTTGCCCAAGTGCACAAAGCTTGTAAGAGTCTGAGCTGCAACTTGAACTCAGACCTACAGACTATGCCCCTGTTTGCCTGCACAGAAGGGGCAGGTCCACCTCCCAGCGTTCTCAGGCCTTTGAGAGTAGAGCACATAGGTGGGGCACACTTCCCACCCCTTCCTCTGATGTAGGACATGGCAGCATCCTCCAGAGGGACAGATGAGAGCAGCCAGCTTCTTCTTTGGCCCAGGTAGCCCCCCGAGAGAGCACCCCAGACAGAGGTTCCCTCTCCTGAGGAATTTGTCTGAAAAGCCTGGCCAGTGCTGATGGCCCATTGGAGTCTTAGGTCACCAACTCCAAATGCTCCATTCAGACCTGTCTGTCTTGACCAGCAGCTCCCCTCCTCTCCAGTCCCTCTCCTCAGGGTCTGCTGACCACTTTCTCCTAGAACAACTTTCCCTTGTCCCCTCTGGGTGGCACTGGGGAAGGGGCCATCCCGCAGGTGTAGTTTAGTGAAGCGAGTATTGGCTACCTCTGATTGGTAGGAGAGCACTTCCCCATTCCCAAAGCCGGCATCTCTGCTACTATCATTTTCAGGACTGCCTAAGTGCATGAGATACACACCTGGCCCTGGAAATCCTGATAGAAGTTATTCCTTCTGCTACCTTTCTCTCCTATCTGTGTGAGCAGATGGCTGTTTTGGGCATCCCAGACAAAACATCCAAGTCCCCCACCGCATCACGCTATGATGCCACCAGAGGGGCCACTGCCACCGACTCATTGCTCCAGATTTCTCTGATCATGCAGTCCTACTGGTTAAACAGTTTTTGAGCACTCACAACCAATATATTTAGTTAACTTATGAATCATTTATGTATACCATTGTCAATCTATACTTTTACATTCTTCCATCTGTTTGTATTTATGTTCATCAAAGGACCTGCACATTCAAGTCAGTATCTGTGTTCCAACTGGTTAACCAAGTTTGGAAACCAGTTTCCTTTCATTGGAGCAAAAACAGACTAGGGTTAATTCAAGGGCTGTTTCCCTTCAGCTTGGCATTTCCCAGAATCTTAGGCCTGCAGAGATGTTCTTTTCTGAGTCACAGGTGAGCCTGAGTACTTTAATTCTCGGAGTGCACAGTTTCAGTTTACGTTTTAAGAATTTATAATGCATGATTCCTCTCCCCTTTTTTAGACTGAAAATAAGTAAAGCTAAAGTTCCCAGGTTTTCTTCTTACACCTGATTTTGGAGACTGATGTTGGCGTTGGTGCCAATTCAGTATCAGGATGGGCCCAGCAGGGTGGGGTCCCTCTGGAGCCCCTCTGAATATCAGGGAGGACCAACTCGGCAGATGGAAAAGAGGAATTTTGGGGGAATGTTTTGGTCTCTTGTTATTGCTATATTCTAATTCCCCTCCATGAAGGAGCATGGATCATAGCAGCAATTGAAGCACATAATATGAGAAGTAGTTCAAAGCATTTTATCATACTAATTTCAAAAACACACACCAGTACATGGAATAGTGTGATGAGCCACATGGGCCTGTCATCTGCTCAACAATTACCTCTACTAGCAAAGCATAAGAAAGGATGAGTTTTTATTTTTATTTATTTATTTATTTATTTATTTTTTGAGACGGAGTCTTGCTCTGTCACCCAGGCTGGAGTGCAGTGGCCAGATCTCGGCTCACTGCAAGCTCCGCCTCCCGGGTTCACGCCATTCTCCTGCCTCGGCCTCCAGAGTAGCTGGGACTACAGG